CCCGGTCTGCGCCTCCCTGCGAGGAGCTGAGGGCAGAGCGGCCGGCGCTGCCCTTCGGCCCCGCTTTGGCGCTGACCTGGGGCGCGGGCCGAGGCCTGAGCGAGCTGCGGGCCGAGGCCTGAGCGAATTTGGCCTGACCAAACCCAGCTCAGGAGTTTAAATGTGATCTGGGAAATTTCATGCATTCATGATTTCAGGTTCCTAATCCAAGTCAGGCAAGTGAGATTCAGGTTCCTGAACTGGTGAGGCCTTTGGCAAAAGTGACTGGGTTGCTGATGTCGGAAGCATGGTCTAGAAGCTGCTGTACTCCATTGTACAACTCGGTAGCTCTTTTGTACATGAATGTAAACGTTTGCTTAAACTTGGAATGCTTTATGTTCTGTATATTTTTTTAATTATACCCAAAAATATACTACTTGCAAGATGAAGCATTTTTGCTGCTTTCCCTTGTGACCTGTTGTGTAAAGCTGGCAACTGAACATGTACTGTAACAGTGGTTCAAAATCCTTCCCTTAAGGACGTTGCCCTCACTGTCTGACCGTGTGCTCAGCGGAGTTCTGTACAAGCTGGCTTTTGCCAGGCAGGATATGGAATGCTGCAGGACTTGCAGCTCTGATGGAAAGTCCTGAGTCTGTGAACTCAACTTGAAACTGCAGGCAGACGTGAGTTGGGTCAGGATTGATGCAGCAGCTTTTCACAGGCTTTTATTGATGAGCATGGCTGATGTGTGGAAAAAAAAAAGGGCTTCAGTGATTGATAGTTTTTGTCTGATCTAGCTGTTCGTATTCTCAGAGAGTTAGGCTACAATTAAAAGTGGTTAAATAACCAGATTGTACTGTGTCTGCAAATGGCGTTACACCAACAGAGCCCTTGGCCATCTGGGTTAGGTTGGTATCATGCAACTCTTCTCTAATCACACCACTGAGAATACTGCAGTTTTTGAAATTTTCTTTTATTCAAGAGCTGCCTTTTGTGGTCTGATTCTGTCTGTACCAGCCTGAGCAGGAAGCATCTGAGAATGTTGGCAAACCAGCCGGCTAGCGATCTAGAGTTTCTGAGCTGCATGGAATCAGCTATCCTTTTAGGGACAGGAATGATTACAGGATCATTTCTCAGTGGAAAAGGCACCAGCATTTCTTTTGAAATGCCTAGAAATAGTAAATGAGCAACTCAAAGGTACATTTATATATACACAAAAGAGCCCACGCTGTCTCACAGGTACAGTGATTTTCATGGAGTTTTCCTTGGAGAAGTTCAGTATTTCTTTGAGGCAGGTAGACTGCAAATGTATTTTTTTCACAGGAGGGTGAAGTTTCATAACTTTAACCATGAAGAATAAGTCTGAATCTAGTTTCTGCAAGTGTTGAGATGTAATTCATTAACAAAAAAGTAATATATAAATTGAGGAAATCTGAGGACTCTTTTTCTTGACTTCTGGCTCAGTTTGTGTTGGTACTAGTGCTGCAGAGTTCTTAAGGGAGTCCCACTTGGAATATAATAGCAAGAATATATTGCAATATAATAATAAGAATAGCAAAATGGGATATGTTTCTAGTTTTCTAGGACATAATGGGAGGAGATGTAAAGAAGAGGTTACAAAACCTAGGGTAAGAACTCATCTCTCCTTACTGACGCACAGTCTGACCACAGCACTGTGTAAATATTTGTATGTGAGTCATGTTTTTATGATACACTCAGAATGACATGTACGTGTTTTGCATGTGGATCCCTGCTTCTAAAAATAAAAATAATCAGTGTCTCCTTATACAGGATAAAAAGAATGGAGTCAAAACCCTCAAGAATTCCTCGAAGGATATCTATTCAGGCCTCCAGTTCTTCACTCGGTTCTAGAACCTTGACTGGAAACAATGTAGCTGATGCATATGGTGCAAGAGGATCTTCACGGAGATTAGAATCCGGATACCAGGTAATGTGTTTTGTCCCTCTGTAAATTATAAATTAATTTCTTGTCTGTTTTTCACCAATAAGAACCTTAAAACACAGGAGGGAAAAAAAAAGAAGGAAGTGACACCCAGGGCCTTGCATTTGTGAATGAAACCCAAGATCAGCTTTAAGATGCCAGGACTTGCTGACAGGCCAGTGGCAATGTTCTGCAGTGGGAAATGGTAGTTCTGGGTTTGCCATCTCTACCTGCACCTTTCAAAATCAGCAGTTGGAATGAAGGGCATCCTGATACCATGGGTCTGTTTTGGCATTAGTCACTGCAGTCTTGAAACTGAGTAAATGGGCTTTTCTGTTGAGAGGAGGGGAGGATTTTGGTTGAATTTTGGTGTGTACAGGGCATTACACCTCCTGTGTGGATAACGCAAGAAGTGCGGACTGTGGTGCGGTTCTGAGCTGACGTAGGTGGTACAGCTCTCGGTACCTGTGTTCCTGGCGTGCTGTGGAGGTGAGATGACCTCTGGGCTTCCATCACCCTTTGGGCTGCATGTGGAGAGACAGCACGGGGGAAGGTGTTGCTGCTTCCAAGGCAACATCTTACACTAACCACATTGCTGTTGTGGGGAGAGGAGCTATGCTCAGCAGTAAGTCACACTTCACAGGCACTTTGACTTTGAAAGTGTGAGAAGGGGAGTAGAGATTAAGCTACTTCAAAAATTAGTTTGAGACACTTGTAAATGATATTGGCTGTTTGGCTCAAATCTCTTATTATTTTGGTTTTGCGCCTGTCAGCAATTCTCACCTCAGGATTGGACCCAGAAATGTAAGTCTTGGTCTTTGAAATCACAGGAACTGAACTGTGTGATTAAGATGTTCATATGTTTTGATACAATGGTTGGAGTGTGGTCCCTGCTGAGAAGCTATCTGCGACATGGTATAACTGTGTTATGTAATACCTTTCCAGAAACAATTTTACAAGTAATAGAGCATTCATTATTTTTAGCACAATTACAAGTATATGTGTAATGTTTGCCATACCTAGCGCACGTGTCCATTAGTATGTGGGCTCTAGGGAGTGTCTAAGGGTAGTCTTCAGGCGGGTTTGCTTTTTGGATTCCTATATGTTTATTATACATTTATAAATTTATTAAATTTTGCTGTCTGCTTAGCAAAACCAAATCAGAAAGTCTTCCTGGTTCTGTAGGGGTTTATGGACAGTCTACACATCACACTGAAAGCTGTTGATGAGAAGATAAGTCTTGAGCTTCCCTGGTGAAGTTGGACGTGTTACTGCTGCTCCGAAATGGTGACACGAGTTCTGTACTTTATATTATTTCATTTACTACCTGAACTGCAGTGTGTTCACTGCTCTGCCTGTTACCTTGTGGCTATTGCCAGTTGAGAAAAGGGCTTCTCACCTGAGGAATGAGCTTTAGAACACTTTCCAGTTAAAATAAAGGGGAAAATAATTGTATAGCAGATTTGTACCCCTCCTTTCCACCCTAATTCATAAAATGTAGCCTGAGAGCTTGTTACGCAAGACTAGTGCTTAATGATAAAAGCGTAGGCAAGCTCCCTCTCTTGACAGACTTGGGTATGTATGGAACCAATGCTGTCGGTGCTTGTAGGTGAAGATGGCAAGGGGCTGGGGCAAGAAAAGCAAATAGTCTAAATAGGATTAAGTCCAGTCAGATAGGAATGGAATGGGAAGGCCTTTTCACTTTGTTCAACTATTAAGAGCTGTTTCAGTTCCAAATAATTTCAAAGATTTGTCATTTAGAAGAAGAAAACCTGTATGGCGGTAAGTAGTGCTTTGGGTACATAGAAGAAAGAGAACTTGGAGATGTGGCTTTTTACTATCAAGGCATTACTGCAGCTGGAGCATACCTGCTTATTGCGTGACTGAGCAAGTCAGGCTTGGAGTATTTGGGTTTGACTAGGGCTGGGAAAAAAAAAAGAAGAAAGGTTTCTATCGGGTGGGTTTGTTCTCCTTCCCCTTCCCTTTCTTCCATGCAGGTAAGGATTCTTGTATGTCACACACCTTTGAGATCAGTCTGGGTAGTAGCGTCTGCTCATCTGAGGAGGCGTAGCAAGCAGGTTAATTGTTAGTCTGATGTGTGTGACACAGCACTGATGCCAGGTGACTTCCAGTACAAAAGTCAAATTGGCGTTATGGTATGAGAAAACAGTCTCTGCGTTATGATACAGCATTGTTAACCATTTCCTGAGAAATGAAGTGTGGGTTTGTGTTTTCTGGGGGGATTTTTGGTAATGGAGCAGTAGGGTCAAGTGTAATGTATAAGATTGTTTGGAATATTTTCCCGATCACGTTTTTCTGCTGCTAAAAATAGACACCAAAACCAGAATACCTTGTGTAACGATCTGGGTTAGCTTCTGCCAAGGGATGTTAAGTGGTCTGCAGATGAACTGAAGGACGAAAGCAAATTGAGCTTTGTCTCCATTTCAGGCAGAGCAGTTAGGTTGAGCTTTCTTGACATCATGTCTGATAATCTACTTTTTCTTACACCCACTTTTTTGATACCCAGCGTGTTGCTTTTTTTTCTTTCTATTTTGGCCTTGGGACATCTTTCAGAGAAACGAGCACAGCACAGAGATGACGCAGCTTCCAAAAGCTGTGGTGGTGTTGGAACGGGTAGATGGTGCAGTTCCATTCGCTGCCTTTCCATGCTGTGCTGGTGTGAGGGTGTTATTCGTGGGTTAAAGTCTGTCCCACAGTGATCCAGACACGTACTCTTGACATTCTCAGATCTTCAGACTCTAACAGCTGGAGAATAGGCAAAGACAGGTATTTCAAGGTCGGTTCAGTGTGCAGCTATGGCTCATGTCAAAGAAGCTTTGAGTTTATCTTAAAGTAAAAAGTTGTGTAGTCTCATGCCCTTGGGCAAATTCTCCATATGAGAAAATTTACTGGCTGGTACCTTTATTTTCAGGTTTAATTTTGCTTGTGAGAGTGATGAGCATGAATATTCTTCAGCTTTTTAATCCTAATACAACTTTAAGAAATAGTGACAGAAACTACTGTAGTTGCAGTATTAATAGTTCATAGAAAAAGGATGGACAAATAATCACTTCGAACTCAGCTATAATGAAGTGGTTGACTTCTGTTAATTCTGTTTTACTAATTTCAACGATTATTCTGCGGAGAAAATAAAACTGCAATGTCTTTGCTTAGTTATCACCTATTCACTGAAATTTGAGTGAAACCAGCAGTGTAGATCTTCATCCCTTAAGTTACCTTTAAGATAGTTGGATTGGTATGTTCAGCAGTTCCCAGTCTGCTTATTAGAAACTTGCCTGTGTAGCCAGGGTGGAGGTTGGAGTGTCTAAGTGTCTTGGCAGAGCAAACCCAAAAAAAACAGCTACAGTCATGGCCCTGCAGACGTCAGACCAGATAAGGTGAGTGCTCTGTTCTGGGGTGACGCACAGGCTGGTTATTTGCAGGACTGCTTTGCAGTGGTCTCTTAGTTCGTGATGCGTATCAAACTGGGGATTCAGTGTCTGTGCTGTGTCTGGAATCGGCTCCTGGAGCTGTTTACCTTAATTCTGAAGCTCAAAGTGCTTTTGTCCCCAGTGCTGTTCATTGCTTCGTAGTGGTCTTCAATGGGAGTAATTTAGAAGAAACTGAGAGACATAAAAGTTACGGTTTTGTAGCAAAACATGGAAATGTTTGCTGCTTGCATGAAATGTAATTGGAATGAATAATGACTAATTAGCAAGCCTTCCCTACGAGCAGCACAACGATGGATTATTAGAACAGGCTGCAGAGAAGTACAAAGCGTAAGCAGTGGCAAAAGGAGGTGTTTTAAGACTCGGAGGAGATAGTGTGTCATTCCCAGTAGCGTGGTGTATTGAGGAATAGCAGCTTCATGGCATGCTTTACAGTTGTTGTCCCATCTATTATCCTAGGACAGGTTGCACTCCTTATGTAAAAATAATTACCTGTTAGTAGGCACAGAACATGGTTTTTCTTCTTTTTCTGTCCTCTTTCACCCACTCCTTCTTCTATTAGAGCGATGAGCAGGGCAAGACAGAGCTTACCTCAGTCGCCAGGCAGCCCCTTCTGCTGGGGCACTGTTGCTGCCACGGAGGCTCTTTGTGCGTGGGGGGTGGTGGTTAATGAACATTCGACAGTGAGGCCCTTCGTTCTGCCCTGTTGCTGGAGTAGCTGAGTTGGGACAAGGCCTCAAGCCTTGGACTTCAATTTTTTACTGTCCACAGTCAAGAGGACGGATGAAGGAGGTGAGAATTGCTTGACAGTAGTTAAAAATTTTTTCTTTGTCAGCGACTCTCTCTCAAGACTGTTCTGCTTCTGCTTGTCTATCCCTTGAAGTTTCTCATGAAAGGTTTCCAGATTTGTTAGTACCTCCCTTCCCTGTATTTTCAGTATTGAGATCAGATACTGAGCTCATTGTGGGTTACAAAATGCCTATCATAAGAATGTTACTCTCCAGGAATCCAGTGTACTGAACAGTTCCAGCAGAGACTGGGGGATCGGAGAGAGAGACGCCCACGAGACGCCCTGGAAGCTTACTACATCCTCTCCAACTCGCTACTCAGGGACACTTGAGCATCCACATTCTGGAAGATTTTTGGGAAGCAGAAGCAGATTGGTGAGAACTGTTAATGTCTAATACTTAAACAAAAAAAAAACCTGCCACAGGTTCACCTCAGCCTTCCCAGCGTGCAGAGCTGCCAGCAGGGTTCCCTGTAATGTTTTGGGACAAGTAGATCTTCCAAAGTCAGGAGGGAGGGAAAGCAAGAACATAGTGGTGTGAAGAACTTACTCAGAGGGTGAAAATAATAATGTCCAATATTTTTACAAAAAAAAATGTGAATTGAGAGTGGCTCTGCAGGTATCAATGGAAAAAGAGAACAGGAGGGAGTGACTCGAATCCCATTCGTGTTATACCTACAGATGACAAAATTCATGTTACTTATACTCTGCTTGTTCCATCAGGTGTTTCGGGGGGGGGGAGGGGGATGTTGTTAGATGGTACCAACTTTCTGAGTTAACACCAAGTTTATGATTTATAGAATCACAGAATGGTTTGGGTTGGAAGGGACCTTAAAGGTCATCCA